CATGCAATACCCCTTAATTAAGGAATTTACCTGAAATCATAATATTAAGGCCCCTATACTTGAAGGTATATTCCTTAATTAGATTTAATTAAGGGGCATTGGGCTCTCTGGGTAGTTTTGTTAAGCTTGAAGGGGCTAGAGCTTCCCTTGCGGTCTTTGGAGGGTTTGGGGTTTCAGGCTTCTTGATTTCCGGCTTTTGACCTGAAAGGAGTTGAAGGCTTCAGGAGATTTGGGGGCTCAGGAGGTTCAACGACTGCTTTGGGGTCAATGGTTGAGGCTTTTCGGGTGTAGGGCCAGGCATTGAGGTGAGGGCTTCGGGCTTGCGGTTTAGGCTGTAGGGCCTCTGTTTAGGGCTTAGGGCTTAAGGCTTGTTAGTATCCAGTGCCTTGGAAGCCTAGTTGGACAATGGAACCTAGAGCTGCGACGCTTGCGAGAACACCATGGTTGAGGGCTTCGGGGTTTAGGTGTTGGGGGTTAGCGTTTGAGCAAGTTAAGAAGCTTGGGAACTGAGTTCACGGTTTAGGGGCCGTCATCGTCATCACGATCCTCATCACCCCCAGCATCATCCTCATCATCAGCATCATCATCATTGGTAAGGTGCTAGGCCACTGGAAAGCTGCCCACATCCCCACCCCCAAGCAGCCTGAAAAGCCTGCGGGTCATTTTATGTTCTTGGTCAGTTCTCCAAGTTAGGGTTACTGTTAGGGTCCAAACTATAAGGGTGCCGTACGATTTCGGGGACGTAAGAGGGACCCTAATCCAAAAAACTACACCCTTGAGCCCTGAAAGCTGCAGTAAGGCCCGGGGCACTGAGCGCTGGGCATGCCAGGCACAGGGCAGTTCGGTACCCTCTGAGGCCCGGGAAGGGGTGTTCCCGTAGGGCCACATGGCTGCGGGTGGCAAACTGAACATGGTTGTGAGTGATGATGAACTTTTTGCGATGATTGGGAGGAGGAGCAGGAGGAGGAGGAGGAGGAGGGGGGTGAGGGTAGTGGCCAAGAAATAAAGCCACCTCTCGATTTGCCGGCTACGACGGGTGCGGAGTTCAACGCGCTGTACAGTTTCAAACTCTGACAAAACATTGAGAAAATTGCACAGGCCCGCGTTGTTGCCTTCGGCAAAGCAGCGGGATGCGCCTTCGGCAAAGCAGCGGAATGTTCTCCACGGACTAGAGCTCTGCACACAATGCAGGCAGCTCTACGTCGCTCACATCGTCAGCAACATCTTCTATGTCTTCTACCGAAGCATTCTCCTGCACCGCAGTCGGTTCGTGCGTCTTCTTCTTCTTCTTGGGAGGACATCCGTGGTATGCACTGTCCAATCCATTTAGTTCCTCGGCGACATCGACCCGCAGGCCTTTTCGAGGGTTCCGCCAATCCCCGCTGAAGGCCCAACCAATCAAGAGGAAGAATGGCAGCCTGGGATCTGTACATTGTTGGGTACTACGTGCTTTGCCTAAGGTGAAGCTTTGTTTCTTGGCCCTCGGTCTGGTCGGATGTCCAACGTCCAACGTGTATACCTACACGCAAAAGACAGAAACAAACAGGTGGAACTGAGTGTCTGCGAAATCCATAGTCTGCGTAGTTAATTGTGTGTGTCTGTGTGTGTTCTGTTTGCCTGCTTGCTTGCTTGTCTGCCTGCTGGCTTGCTTGCTTGCTTCCTTCCTTGCTTCCTTCGTTGCTTGCCTGCTTGCCTACGCTTGCTTGCGCTTGCTTGCATTTGCTTGCCCTTAGCTCTAACCCCAAACCCAAACTGCAGCCACTAAACCGACCCCACCCTAAACCCATCTACAGCTCATCAGTCGCAACCTGAACGTGAGTCCTGTTAAACCGCATCCACTGACATTTGAGCCACAGATCACTGCGCGTGTGGCGTGTGATTTTGGTTTAGGGCTGAAGGGAAGGAATGCAACTAGTGAAGAATCCTCCTTGCCGCCATTCACCAAAGCGGTTGCAATCTGCCTGAGAATTCTTTGACAATTTTCCTACTATGTAGCCGAGGATCACTGTGAGGAAGGACCAGCAAAGTATTGACAGCACAAGGAGCAGCTGTATACCCAGCAGCTGCAGCCCACCTCCTCGGAAGAGACCGCTGGCCACCTGATCAGGGTTCAGGCTTATAGAGTTGGGGTTTAAGATTTAGGGTTTGGGGTTTGAGGTTTGGGGTATAGAGGTATAAGGTTGAGTCTAGGATTTAGGGTTTAGGGCTTCGGGTTTAGGGTTCTTAGGGTAGGGGTTCAGGATTTGGGGCTGAGGGTTATGGAGTAGGGTTTAGGATTTTGGGATTTGGGTTTGAGGTTTTGGGGGGGCTTAGGCTCTAGAGTTTAGAGCTCACGGAGTGTAGGCCCTAGGGCTTAACTTAGGGCCCAGGTGCCCCCAGCCAGCACAGCCAAACTTGCAAAAAACAAACTGGCGACCATCACATCAAAATATCGCAACTACCGTCACAAGAACAACACAATCGCAAGTCGATGACATCCGCATAACAGCAGCGGCACAGGAGGCAATACTTCGTATCAGTTCGTAATTACGACAGGCCTGAAACCCCGAAAACCGTTACCCTAAACCCTATACACCAAAACGTGAGCACCACCCTGAACCCTGAGCCCTAAACCATAAACCCTAAACCCCAAACCCCAAGCCCAAGCCCTGCGCCATCTGATCATCTGATCCCTGCCTCAATGCCCGGCAAATTGCCATCAGCGAAGAGGCCTGAACATTTCGACCGCAGGCTCTCCATTCAGGGCAGGGACGGCTACGACAAATGTACCATAGGGGGTCTAGGGTTGGGGTCGTTTGGGGTGCTGCCTTGAGGGCTTAGGATTTTGCGGGCAACTTGAGGCTGGGGGCTGTGGCTTCGCATTACGAGCAACAGCCCTACACTAGTTTTGGGGGCCGTAATAATTAGAATAGGGTTTTGGGGCCCGTTATACTATGATCATAATAAGGGACCCCCAAAAGAGTGTTGGTAATTATTGGGGCCCCTACACTAAACCCTTCCGCCTACCGCGAGAATGCCCCACACCGCTGATGCTCCATGCACGCCAATCGCGCCGACCGGGTCATCAATCTGCAAACGCAGAATCCTTCGTTGGGGAATCGGGTTCCATTCAGGGTTACGAGAATAAGGGTTCTACAAAGGCCTATTACCTTCAAAGGCAGAGCCCGTGCCATTATCACCACGGGTTCTAGAGGGCTTTATGGTGCTTTGCTCCAAAGGTTGCCGTAAGGGTTACAGGGGCCTTGACAATCAGAACGGGGTTTTGGAGTTCATTATCGCAAAGTCCAGGCTCATGAGTTGATTGTTTCGGGTCTAAGGGTCCGTTCCCCTATGTAAAGTGATGCTTCGTCGTAGCAGCGGAGTGCTAGACTGCAACAGTTTGCATGTAATCAAGCTGTTGCATCCTGCGCCGAACGAACCATATGATATGGATGATGCCTGGTTCTCCAAAGCTCTATGAGCTGTCGGCTGTTCTGCCTTTATAGAGTAAGATCGAGGTTGCAGCGCCATGTTGTAAGGAACTCTCTTGCTAAGATAATCCTCCATGCGCCTCAGCGCAAACGGCACTTGTGCCTCTGTGGGGCATCGAATCAAACGACCCAAAAGCTTGGTCCATCGTGGATGCTGACACTCACTATATACTTGGTTCCTGAGTAGCCTCTTTATAATAAGGGTAATTACCCTTTTTCCTACTCTTCTGTTTTAGNNCCCTAAACTAAAAAGGGCAAAAGGGTTGGTGGTCGCCCGGAATAGGAAAAATCGTAAGCTGTTGCCACTTCAAGAAGCTCTCAGTCTTTACGTGCACGGTCTACACAGGTGGAAGCTTTTGGGAGTTTCCCTCATCTGGTTTTCAGTCATGGTGCCGAACTGTACCACTCCACATTGCGTTACCTTGTGCTATGGCGCGTCATATTCTTCTTCTTCTTCCTATTATTATTATTGTTGTTACTACTACTATCATTCGGTACGTTGCAGCCAACGTCCGAAGGCACTCCCTTCACTTCGGGTTGCATGTACAACAGCTGCAATAGCGGCAAGCTGCATACAGTCAAGGCTCTGGGGCTCGGGTTGCAGTTTCCAGTTCGAGGTTTAGGGTTTAGTAGCTTCGCAGAGTGAGTGGAACTTCTGTACGCACCACAATGTACTGACTTACTACGCAGATGCAAACCAGCTACAACACATGGCCAAGAGTCCAATCGTTCGTCAGCAAAGCGAGAATGCCACCGGCTGCACCAATTAAGGGTGCCTCTGGAGGGTGCACGCACGCGCAGGTGGCAGTGATTGCCACCAAGGACCCCAATATGCCGTTGGCAACTTCATCCGCGACGATGAGCCTGCCAAAACACAAGCGTTTCCTACACCAACGAGACAGCAACCCCAGGACCCCAGGACATCAGGTGCCTTCCCCTCGACTTGGCTTTGGTGTACAGGAAGGCAGCCGTTCCACCGCCCGCAGTTGCATTGATGGTCGTTACACCCGCCCGGGTGGCGACAATCCACTTGAACTGCGTAATTCCGAAGGAGCTGCCACAGTTGAAGCCAATCCAGCCCCACCACAGCATGAAGAGGCCAATCAAGAGACTGCTAGGAGATGAAGCTCTGAAATCTTCTGGTGGGCGGGTGCCATCAAAACGGCCGTGGCGTGGCCCCAACACCAAAATCCCTATCAACCCATTCACTGCACCCACCAGATGCACGGGGCCACTGCCAGCAAAGTCATGCACTCCCAACTGTGCCAGCCAGCCATTAGCTGACCAAACCCAGTGTGCTACGAAGGAATACACAAGCACAGCATAGAAGGAGTACAAGCAGTATAAAACAAAACAACAGCGCATGGCAAGGCAGCCACTGACAATGGTTGTGGATGTAGCAGCAAAACTGAACTGAAAAATGAAGTTGCTGAACCGAAGCCCCGAGCTGATAGGGTCCGTTGCCGAAATGTCCATTAGAAAGTCCCCATGCCCAGTGAATGCATTCGATGGCGATCCATAGGAGATGCCGTAGCCTAACGAGTAGTATGCCAGAGCACCACACACCACGTCGTAGACATTCTTGACAAGGATGTTCACTTCGTGGCCTTTTCCTGAGGAGCCCATCTCCAACATCGCAAAACCACTCTGCATGGTTAGGATCACGAAGCTGCTCGTCAGCACCCAAGTCGCATCGTCAGCATGATCGGCATTCACTTCCCCAAGGACTTCCGAACTCGACATATGCAGAGAAAAGGCACCGACCGCACGGGCACTTAGCAGCCCGGGAAGGTGTGAAAAGAGGCGGCCTAACCTTACGAGGATCAAGGGACTAGGCTAGTGGGGGCTGTGAATATCTTAGGGGGATCGCTGAGGTTCGACCGTCAGCGAACAGAATGCCGAAAAGCTACACACTCTAACTCTATACCCAGAGAAAGTAAAGTGTAATCTTGCAGACTAGTGAATACGACTTTACATCAACCAGTTATCCACCCCAAACACTTAATAGTTTTGGTATTGCAGAACTGTCGCTCAGCTGGTTCCGCACATGGACTGCCTCGAGCCTCAACACGAATGGTCTGCAATTCTTTCCGTCTGCGGAAAGCTGGGAGGGCCCCAAGACCCTAAACACGAATCCCAAAGTGAGACATCGAGAACCTCCCATCACCAAGAGAACAAGCAGTAGTGGTGGTGGTAGTAGTAGTTGTTGTTGTTGCAAGAGTAGGGGCAGGAGCAGGAGCGCTAATCGTAATCGTCGGTCGTCATGTACTGGCAAAGGCTGTTCGCGCTTCTCCGGCTTGTCTGGCAAGCGGCGGAGAATCCGGGGACTTTCCTAGCGCTGCCTGTGACTTGCGCAAATGAAAGGAATATGAAACACTTGCGCTTCTTACGTGGTGTACCAGATGCACACTGGTCGGACCCGGGCGCGACGGTATGGAAATTGTCGTGACGGACAACGATTGAGGGAACGAGCATGACGCGACCCGCTCCGCGAAAGAAAACAGATCCTCTCCAAGACAGACCGGTTGAAAGACGGACAGAACAGGGACTTACACAACTAGAATAGGGCTGTTTGGCGTGCAGTCTAGTATAACGATAAGGGGCGCAAGGGATAGTTTGACTCTTGATTTGGAGCCTTATACAAGGGCAGACTGCTAGGCAGATAGCCTTCGCAACGGTTCGGATTTTCCTGCCGGCTACGACGGCTGCAGCTTTCACATGCGATGGACCGGACAGGCCGGTGCATGGCCAAGAGAAGCCTAAAACTGCCACGCCTTTGGCATGACGGGAAAACAGCTTTCTTACGCAAACATTGGTGTCTTTCAAAAAGAGTCTTAAAGCTCCGCACACAACGCAGGAAGCTCAAGGTCGCTCTCTTCCTCCTCCTTGGGTTAAAACGGATCCCGAAAAGGATTGAGGGTTCGGGGGCTTACGGGCCTGTAGTGTTCCTAGACTCTTACATGCAATCCTTTTTTGTTTACCGGGGTTTCTTAGCAAATAGGATCTTAACCATAACATACGTCCTCCAATACAAGGTACTACATTTCAGGGTCTAGGTAGGGTTCACATATACCAAACAGGAACAAGAGTATTATGGGTAGCATAGGGGACACAATCATTTAAGCAAAGTTTGGGGCATGTTGCTGTATAACAGACTTTGTGAGGACTTTAGGCGGGTACTATTGCTAAGTCTTCCGAGCCCTATAATTAATACAATATACCTTGCCCTGAAAAAGCCATACTGCCCTTGATGACCCAATTTTAAGGTTTCCGCCTCGATTGCCTCCGCGGCATTTGCCTCCTGCCCTCCAGGCGACGCGGACGCATCTGCCTTCTTTAGGGCAATTTGTTGAATGCTTTAGGGCTGGGTTTTGCGTTTAGGGGCTTAGGGGCTTGCGATTTAGCGGCTTAAGGTTAGGGCGTTTCCGGTTCAAGGCTGATGCACCTGCCTTCTTCTTCTTTTTCTTGGCTGGGCACCCGTGGTACACGCTGTCCAGGCCAGTGAGCTCGTCGGCGGGGTGGACGCGCAAACCTCTACTCAACCATAAGCCCGCCACAATTCTAAAACCTGAACCCTGCATCCCTCAATCTAGACATAAACCCTGAGCCCTGAACCCTACACCCGTCCGAAACCTTTAACCCTAAACCCGAAAACCCTATAGTACCCTGATAGCAGACCTTATAGACCCCTAAAGGAACCCTCTGCCCTAGGCCCTGGACCTCTTCGAGGGTTGCGCCAGTCCCTGCTGAAGACACAGCCAACCACATAGAAGAAGGGCATCCTAGGCTCGCAATGGAGTGTTGTGAAGGGTCCCAGGGTTTGTACTAGGTTTTCACAGTGTTTTGCGAAAGGTTTTATAGGGAGGGTTTCATATGAGCTGTGTTTTTTCTTCTGTTTCAACCCCAAGGATGCAAGACCCCCCTTCCGCACAACCCTTCCGCCACTGCTTCCGCAGCCTTCCGCGCTTCGAAGCGTCGGCAAGTGTCTGAGTCATTGCATGTCGTCCCTTGCGCGTGCCCTTCCGCCGACCGTTTTGCAAGCGAGCCCTTCCGCAAGACCATAAACCCCTCTTGACGTATTACGGTAGCGCCTTTCGGCAAATACGGGCCACATCCGTTCCAGTGAACAAAACTTCCACTTGTTTCTTAGCCGTGCCTCGTGAACCCTGGAAGGGTACAGGACAGTAGCTGGTTCGCAGAAGAATACCTCGCCCTGAGATGTAAATTATCTCTGGCTTTCTCGTTCGGTTCATTCGTGAGCCTCTCGTACTCTTTGGCCATGTTCACACCTTCGCCTTGCACTCGTTGTTCCAGATGCAGATAGCTGCTGGCTGCCTCGCCACGAAGCTGGCCCAATTGGTTTGACAACGACTCCGCAAGTTCTTGGTCTTCAACGCGTTGACATTGGCTCATTTCCTCGACTCGCATCAGCGCGACTTCGTATTCTGCCTTTGATCCTTGATGCACTTGCTTCATGTGCGCCATAGATGACTGTAGCATGTTGAGTTGACGTTCCAGTTCTTCAATTCTTGCGGCAGATCTTTGGTCCTCCTGGGTCATCTCCGCGATCTTTTGCATCAGAGTCTGTACAAGTGCATTCGTGTCGTCGAATTTCTTCCTCATGGATCCTTTGCATCGCTGGCTGTGCAACAACCAGTTGTTGAACGACGTGTTCATTCACAAGCTGTGAATTCCCGGAAACGTCCTCAATCGGAAGCCTTGGATGTGCATCATGTTGTCGACGAATCGCAGCCTCCGGATCTGCGTCTGGATTCATGGAAGTGCTCCGCAAACCCACATCAGGCGATGATTGCGCCCTCGCCAATGGCGGCCCTGTGCAGATACAGACCGCAAAGATCTGCTCGAAGAACTCCTCGAGGATCTCGCTCTCCTCTGCTCTGTTGCATCGTTGACTGCAAACATTGCATCACCGTCTTATAGACGGTCGTCTCTCGCTTCCCCTGGTTCTTGGACTTGCCGAAGATGGACGTGATGATGTAAATGTCCTCGGCGAAGAGATTGCTTTTCTGGCAAAAATACGTGGCGATGAGGTTGAGGGCTTCGCCTTGTCCTCTTCAGTGGTAGTACTGTCAACGGACACTGCCACTGCATCGTCGGCAGTTGACTCTCCAGCCGCCGGTAATGCGATCTCGCCACCCCCAAAAGTCATTGTCGTATCTGCACTTGATCCAGACGTCATACAAGAGACAATCAACGACCAATCTCCAGTAGGCAGGCCTACAGCTGATAGCCTGCGTGAGGATTTGTTGTTGATATCGTTCGTGTTGCTCACCTCACCGAGCACTTTGATGTTGAATGTGGTTGCTTGTTTTAGACGTAGCAGACCACCGTCACCCTCAACGGACACTTTTCTCTGGCTGCGTGCCGTCGGAGGTCGGTGCACGGGAAATGGCTCACACTGTATGAATCGGTAGCCAACAAGGTACACGTAAGCTTGTGGCTGTTGGCAGTTTCTTGAGCCAAATTGCGAGTAAGCGGCACGCTGAAAACATGCCACCTCTACACTCTGCAAAGCAGGAGAGTAGATACTAGTAGGTTGGCTGATGAATCACAGTCTGCAGGACAACCCGGTGATGGTCACACATATAGCTCATACGAAGGGTAACGTTATGTCGCACCCGGGCGCGTGAAGTCGCGACACCGCATGGTCTCGCGGGAACGTGTGAAGTTACACCAGAGCGTGTGAAGTCACACCACAAGCATAGCTGCACGTCGCTTTCCCCATGGCCACGTGCTTCCTAACACATTCCTGGCACAGACGTCAACGTAGGATTTCGAGTGCCGCGCTCAGGCTTTCTTAGGAAATTACTGTCCCGGAGCCTTGAAAAGTCTGCCAGTTTGGCAACTAATCACCATGCGCACGCGCTTTTGGACATGAAACAGGCGTCCGCTGGTTGTGATGACATCACACCCGTTTGTTTGTGGATTAGTTTTCCCAATGTTTCTGTTGTGCTTTCAGCAGAAGTAGTCACCGATTGCCGGGACTTGTTCAACATGGCTTCCCCCGAGTGTCCACGCACAAAAGTTATGACTTCACACAGCGCGGTACGAGGCAACGACTTTCCCCAGAGAATCTTTCGCTGAGCTTCCCGAAAGCTCTGAAACTGAAACAGCTCTGTTCTTAAGCTTTCCCGTAAGGTTCTTACACCCTGCGAATATAAAGACTGATATTAAAAGACTGGAATTGACTAATAGCATCACACCGCTAATTTCTGTTTACAGATTACATTACACGATGACTTTCATGGGACGAGCATTTATTCACTTGCTGCAAACTCTCACACTCTTGGAACCAATGGTGCTGGACAATCAGTGAGGACACTTTCCAATCTAAGAGACATATGCAGGCCCGTCCTCGTCATCAGCGTCGAAGACGACGAAGCCGTTAGCGCCAGACTATGAATCAATCATATAAAAAAACAGCAAACATGATCAAAGTATAAACTTAAACTACAAATAATGACAAAAACAAGCACATCAACTCAAAAACAAACAAATAAGGACAAAGTTCGCCAAGTACGTAACAAAATGAGGTTTTAGGCCGAAGATGTAAAAGCCCTGATAATCTAAGCCCCGTGGTTCTAGGGCGTCGCAAAAGGTTAAGGAAATAAACCCGAGTCCATAAAACCCTGAACCCTACAACCCTAAACCCTAACCAGCCCAGTATCACTGTCACCAGCGACCACCCAACGACGGACAGGACTAACAGCAGCTGCACACCC